CCACCCAACACCGTTGGTGACCCACGCCCGCGATAATTGATGAACTTTAGACTCCGCTAATGCTTTCGTTTCCCCGGGTGTAAATAGCCGGGGGGAATTAGTACCCTCGCACGGCGCTTCGCGCCGTCGGCTCGGGGATAAAAACCTAAATATGGTCGTTTCTCAGCTAACACAAATTTACATGCGTGCATTTTCACTCATGCATTACATTGAAATACGCGAGTAATGTTCTATTTACGGATATTTTTGTTAAGCGTGTTTCATTCAACCGGCAGAGTAGTTGTTTTTGTCTATCAATTTCAAATTCTTCTATGTGCAAAAGATTGCACAAGACCCAGTCCACTCTCATGGATAAATTTGTATTACATTGTTCTTGAATTTGATTGGATAAAATACCACAAACAAAGAAAACCAGTCAAAAAATCACTTTTACATCTCTTGATTAAATACCGATAATTTTTCGAAATTTTTATGTGTATTGTGCTTGTCTCTTTACTATAGTTCCCAGTGCACCTCCATTAAATGTTACTACCCATTCCCGAGGCAAAACTTTGCTCGTAGTGTCTTGGCAAGCTCCTGATAAACGGTTGTGGGATGGTGAACTGACAGGATATCAAGTTTGCTATTCTACTTTGGAAAGCGATAGAAATGCGAAATGCCTAATGACTGCTACATTCTTATATACAATTTCTAAACTTCATCCTTCTACGAAGTATTTTGTGACTGTATCAGCTGGCACGCGTGCTGGTTATGGAAACAAGAGTTTGGAAGTCAGTACAATAACAAACGGAGGTAAATAAGGAACGATTTTAGACACATTTAATTTAATATATTAAATATTGGCAAAATGTTTTTCATTAGCCTGTTAAGACTACAAAAAAAAACAGAAAAATAATTGTGTAGTTTTTTCATTATTCACACGAAATCTTACCCAAGGTTAATATTATGTCATTTGACTAAATCCACGAAATCTTACCCAAGGTTAATATTATGTCATTTGACTAAATCCACCAGTATCGATAAGTTTATGACGTTGAGCTCCAGCTGTGACAATGCTATATAGCTGCTTGAGGCACTGCACAAGGTCGTCGATCACAACTTGTAAAAATTAAATAGGAAGTTGTCGAAGTGTAGAACGAAAACTGTTTTTTGTATTAACTATTTTGTGGCACGTCCGTTGAATCATGACTAACTTGGAAGCAAACTCTCAATAAACTGAAATTGTATAAAATCAATTCTAATCGATTCGTTCAACATGATGCTCCAAGACTGTTACTTACAGATACTATAAGTTAAGTACTTGTTGCATGCAAGGTGGGATGATTCATAATTGTACCAACTTTGTTAACGCCTGTTAGCACGGGCGTACGGGAAGGAAAAAATTAGGGGGCGGAAATAAATTTGCCCAACTCTTTCGGATTTTGCCCGAGCCGTCAAAAAAAATTTTCCGGAGAAACTTTGCGAAATTTTTGTCGACGGGGAGGAGTGATTACGAAAAATTCCTATTAGATAGCATATTTCCCACAAAATTGACAGAATTTCCCACAAAATTGACAGAATTTGTCCCATTTCTTTTTATAATAAGCCAATATTGCCCGACTGTGAAGCGAATATTGCCCGACTGGCTTTGTTTGCCCAACAAACTGGGGAGGGGGGCTGCCGCCCCCTCCGCCCCCCGCCCGGTACGCCAATGTCTGTTAGAAACTTTGGGCCGTTGCATGTGAAATTATTCCGTTCGCTCTACTCTAGTTGTAAGCAAATGAATGCAACCTGAAACGCCCAGCGATGATCCGAAGTCGTACAGAGCTCTGTATGTACTGCACTCAAAGTATAGTTATTCATGTGCATGCATATGCAACGTTTTTGGCATAAATTTTAGATCAACCCTAATGAAAACAACAGACCACGGGTGCACTTTGACTGGGCTTCGCATTTATTTTCCAAGAATCAAAGTAGCGAGCGGAAACGTGTCGCATATTAAACTTGTCGTTTCCGTAAACGAAAGTACTGTAATCCTGTAATCCAAGAATCAAAGTAGCAAGTGCAAGTTGCTGACCTGTAAGAACTTTTGCGTTATATCTATGAGGACTAAATGTCTGCATGTGTCTTCTTCAACGTTTTTGAGAAAATTAAATGTCCCTTATATAATTTATATTTTAAACTAAATTACTTCTGAAGACTAAATAATATATTTTTGTGGACTTTAGAGCCTGTGAACCCCGCTGGGATGTCGTATTCAACTGTAAACGTAACCATAACCAAGCCAGCACAATATATAAAGTAAGTTATATCCAGTCTACAAATTAAGTAAGTTCTCCACCTAATTATCGTTATGACGCTACCTCCTCCACAGGGCCTGCGGAGGAGGTAGATTACGAGATGTGATGTTCTGGCAAAGGATTAACTTTACATTTTGAGCGATAGTATATGTATCTACTCTGTTTCACGTTTAGAGAAGTGATGGTCATCGTTCAAAATGCAACAAGTAGTCAAACACCAAGTGAAGACATTCAAACAAAAGATCTCAAACCTTACCAGGCAAACATAAAGGGGCCTTATGTCACTGCTTATTTGAAAGCCGATAATCTACCGTTGACAATTGTGATTGGTGATGGCAAGGAGTATAATTTTGAAAAAGTGAAATACTCCAACCAGCCTTTAAAACAGAATTCACATTATATCGTGTTCTTAAGATTTTTTGAATCCCAGGTAAATATTTATATATTTGTTTATGTATTTTGTCCTTATTGTGTAACTATATCGTACGATGTAATTATTTACATTTAGAAAATGTAATTTACGTTTACATTTGTTGAATATATAAAAGCAATCACATGACAAAAAATAAACAATCAGATGGATATTATGGATTTAGTTAAAACAAAGTGCAAACAGAAAATGTAAATCACATTACAGAATATATACTTGCGAAAAGAGAAGGATCCGAAACTACGGGATAATCAAAAAATGTAAGGAATATAGTGGAACAAGTAAAGAATAAAGTGGGAAATTAGCGAAGGCCACATATAGCTAAACATAAGAAAAACATTCATTTATACCGTAGCGCTTGACAGTGCCAAGCTTGGAAATAAAGCGCATTTAATGTTTTTTTGCAGCTATCATTGCCACCAGAAATGGGACAGATGGCTCCAATTTTCATGTCTGAAACACTATATGATTTGGCCTATTAAGATGTCTGGCAACAGATTGGTCAGCATACCAATGTTGACCAAACGTTGCCTTAAAAATCTTCCAGTTTCTCCGATATAAAGCATGCCATATTTACTGCTTGAGATACAGTACACGAAATGGGAGGAGGTGCACATGAAATGGTGCTTGAAGCACCGTATCATACAACGGTATACGTGTCATTTTCTGACGATTAATCCTGAAAGGGAGCTATGCACTAGGGTAGTTCGTAGCCTTCATAATCGTGGCACTCACAAATTCATTTTTACCATTGCGGTGCACGTGGTTTGAGGGTCTTCAAGCATGGGAACTAAGATGGGTCCCAACTATGCTAACTTATTTGTTGGTTTTATGGAAAAATAAATCTTCAAACAAATGCACTGATTCCATACCTGATTACCTTGGTAGATACATAGATGATTGTCTTGGCACAGCATCATGTTCTCTTGTCGAATTAGAGCACTTTAACTTTGTTAATAAATTCCATCCAGCACTCCAGCTCACATGAGAGATTAGTGATACCAGTGTATCATCATTGATATCTTTGTAACAATCAATGGCAATAAACTTGTCACTTCTGTTTTCTACAAGCTCACCGACTCCCACAACTATCTTCACTATCTTCTATTTTCTTTTACCCACTCTAACCACTCCAAAAGGCCGATTGTCTCAGTTCCTTCGCCCTCGCCGCATTTGCAGCGAAGATGAAGAATTCCTGGCCAAACGTCAGGACATGACGGATTTTTTTGTCTAACGAGGCTATCGTACCTCTATTAGACACTGCCTCCCAAATTTTCCGAACTGAGACCCTCATTGATCCTGTGTCTACTATGACAGGTAATAACCGAATTCCCCCATTTTTAACATATTATTTTTCTTTCTAAAACTTTTAATTCTATAGGATTATTCTTCAATATCATATTATTTCCGCAAAAATTTTGAAGTAAGAGATATCATTAGAAAGAATTTCCATGTCTTGAAAAACTACTCTCAAAAATCATCTTTGATAAATCCCCATGTAGTCTCTTTTCGACAAAGCAAATATATCGGAGAATCCCTAGGTCGTACATCCCCTACCACACAATTGATCGTGATATAATGGCACGCTTCATTATCGGGTAAATGTGGGATGCTTTATGTTGGAGAAACTTGAAGACTTTCGAAGACAGGGTTAGGTGAAAATCGGCGTGCTGTCATTGGTAACGATGCCGCCAATAAACCTGTTGCCAGACATTTTACTACAGTGGCCATCACAATGTTTCAGCCGTCTGTCTTATTTGTGAGCAACGATACCGCCCCCCCCCAAAAAAAACAAAACAAAAAAAAACACAAAAAAAAACAAGAAATGCGCAACATTTCCAAGCTTGGCTCTGTCCATCACTATGATATAAATTAATGTTTTTCTTTTGTTTACCTATATTTGTACTTGCCTGACATTATTTCTCACCTTATTCCTGACTTGTTCAATTATATTCCTTACATTTGTTTTGATTATCCTGTAGTTTCCTGCGCTTCTCCTCAGATATTCTGTAATATGATTTACATTTTTATTTATTTTTTTTTATTTGCTGATTCGCCCAAGATATTGATATTGCACATAAAAGAAATAAACTATTTACAAGAAATGGGCTAGGAGCCTACTAGAAACCATATGGCTTTTTGTTTTAGGCCCCTAGGTTATAAATTTAAACTAATTAGCAAAATAATATGCAAAATCAATCAAAATAATCAAAATAATCTGATTAATTGGCCAAATCAATCTGATTAGTTTATTTTTTATCATGTGACACTTATATAAATTCACTAGTATAAAAGCACATGTATTTCCCCAAGGGAGGAATATTATTTCACGAAGGGCCTTTACTCAAAACGCCGAAGTTTTGCTGGTATTTTCGCAGTTTTCTGTCGTTTACTCAATTACTCCGATGACCTATTCATATTCATATTCAGATGAAAACGTTTTGTACATATCTAGAAATACACTCATGTAGGAACCTCTCGCCTTGCTAGCAAGATCACTATATTTTCCAAACATGAAGTATTCGAAGTGGTTGTCATGGTAACACGGTCATTTTTTCTTTATTTGTTTGAAATTAAAAACATCCTAAACATCACTTTCAATTACAAAATGATTAATTTCCCATGCAAATATACATGTTAGGTATGTTATTATGCGTAATAATATAAGCTTTAATTTTAATGTAAAATTCATTCCAACCACAAACGCTTCGCAAAACGCTTTTTATTTAATTAATTAATAAAATGTGCATAAAATTAAACTGCCTTTTATTGATAATGTTTGAAATAAAATTATTTCAAATTATGCAATTTTCGCATGAAAATATCTTTGCTCTCCTCTTTATTTGCAGATTTTTGGAATTATGTATAACTGTTTATTAAAATACACTTCAAAAACTCATTAATAATTCATGAGGAAAACACAAAGAGAAATCATAAGCGTGGCGCGTCTTTATATGTGATAAAACACGCTTCAAATTTCAACTTGTATCTTCTTAGCTAATACAAAGTTATTTTGGCAAATTATTTCGCCAATGCCGTGGT